TGACCTGCTCTAACTCCTGAGCTGCCCTAATACCTGTGTTTTATATAAACGTATGATGCCAATATTTCATCTGCTGATTGGTGTTTGATTTTAGGAATAACAGACTGTTGGAAAAATGGGCTTTCAGTCCAATGGGACATTTTTCGGATCAACAGGGCTTTGGAATTTTCTGGCCAATGGGACAATAGTCAGTCCCCACCACATGTTTACCACAGTGTTGTCAGAACACAAAATTGAAATGTAAAGAACAATGGCAGTTTTAGGGGGGGCCAGCAGGAGCCAGTGCCCCCATAACTCTGAGTCCGGCCCCCCCTGTGGCCCCCCCCCGCCAAAGAGTCGGAGGGTTGACGCGGAACGCAGAACTAAATCGTCTCAACAGTTTGCTGGTCGGACCACTTAAAGCGGCACACCCACCGGATCATGTGAAATATACCATACAAGTAGGTAAAGGGCGCGAGTTTTCTAGTGTATATATACAGTGTTTCCCATACATTGACTAATTTGCTCTGCCATAGTCTCCAAAAATCGGCCAGATATAAAATGCCTCCAGTAAATGAACGTCACTCTGTAGCGCTCTGGCTGGAGCGCCTACTGAGAATTCTTTTTCACACATAAAAAGCACAAAGATGTTGAAATCTAGGCATATTCTGCCACCATAACTTGGCTCTCAGAGTTCACCAGATTGAACAAGATTTTTATAGGTTCTAGGCCACTGAAACTGGCCTAGAACCACCACTGGTAAAGAAATGTAAACTTGTACATATCTACGACATATGAAATGTGTATGTAACATATCTGTGGTTTGCAGAAACATACGACGCCAACATCTGTTCTGGCTATAGGGATGGTAAACCTCACTGCAGCAAAGAGAGCACTGTGAAGCTGATTGGTTTTGGTTAAAAATAAGGAAAATGACGACTAAACTGGAACCTCAGCAGTTGAGTTGCAGTAACAGGTCAAGTTGTCACCTACTGTAACAACTGTGGGCAATACAATCATGGATAACTTGCATTGATGGACTACAGACGAGACATATGTTCGTCTTCGCAGCTCTTACTGACACCACTCCCTTGCTTACTCATTCACAGATCATCCACTGGCTGAACTGATCAGGCCTCAGAAAAACACCATCACAGCTTCTTATTCCTTCTGTATCACTGTATGTGCTGAAATTGTTTGAGATGCTTTTTCTGAAGTTTAATGAGACAGAGATCAGATAGCTATCAAATCCCTCCAAGATGCTTGAAGTGGTTGAGCCTGAAGAGAAAGAGAACCAACACTGCGGTGGGATGATGTTCCTCTAATTAACAAGCAGCCACAAAAGGTCATAAACAGCGGCAATACATGTCATTTCTCCTACATGTCACAGTTCACACTCTCCTTTTAGCCTCAAAGGACAGATTTTTCTCTGGCGATCATTGATAAATAACATGATAAAAAACTTTGTTTTGGTCTTTATTCCCTCTCTTCTCCCTGCATGCTTCCATCTGACTCCACTCTGCCTTTTCTCTCTCACACACTGATGCTGTTTTGCTTTCCCTCATGGTTTTTACCTTATCTAGTCAACCTCAGTCCACTCCATAGCTCACTACCTCACAAATGCCTCTCTCTCAGTCTGCCTCTCTCCGTTCAGGTTGTTTTAGTCATTAGCTGACATGCTGATACCATCTCAGACACCTGTTCTCTCCTTCCAATGCTGCTTCTCCTCATTCTCTCTCTGCCTCTCTCGTCCTCCTTTCCTCTCGCTGCCTCCTCTCCTCCTCCCTCTTATCTGTTCGACAGGTCTGGAGAGAACAAATTAGACCTGCTAAATTAAGCCACACACACAGCTCCAGTCTAGCTAAAGGGAAGCTGTGTGTGTGTGAGAGAGAGTGTGTGTGTGAGATGGAAAGATATAAACGCACACTCAAACACAGGAGCTCTTTGAAAAATGGGTAAAATGGATCAAATGAGATAAACCTCAGGAGTTGGATTCTGTTTTTAAAGTACAGAGGTGTGATTATTTGACCAGAGGAGGAATAACAAAGGGTGAGCAGGGAGGGAAGACACAGAGAGAAGCAGTGAGAATCTGAGAGAGGGAGAGAGATAAGGGAGTTATATGTTGGGGTACTTTTACTTTGTAGTCATTATGTTGGGTTGAACTTGGTGAAGTTTCTTTCTTGTATTTTCAGCTGAGGTTGTGAAGGGCACATCTGACTCAAACATGTAGTTCATGGCTGTGTGTATTGATCCACAGCTAAAAATAGTCCCCAACAAATTAGGGCTGTTCAACTTGGGGTAAAATGCTGCGGCCGCTAGACACTGTCGCTTTTTTACCCAACTGTCCAATCACAGTGGAGGAGGTACGGGATGAAAAGCCCACCACAAAGACCAACCAACCCTGTCTGACTCCCAACTCATCAAATGCCCATGCTTGGGGCGACCTCTAGCTCACCTGGCAGAGTGTTGTGCTGAGTCATCTGCAGCGGCCCAGGTTAAATTCTGACCTGCGGCTCTCTGCTGCCTGTCATCCCCCTAAGCCTTCCTGCGTCTCCTGTAGCTGTCTTATCAATAAAGACAAAAATGGCTGAGGCTGTCAGATGCTGACACATTGAAGCATCCTTTAGCGACGGTATGAGCCGCATCGGGCGGCGGCAATTTTTGATTTCCTGAGCAACTATCATGGTATAAAGAGTGAGAAAGTCTGCGTAGGGTGGATACAAAGTCGTTAAAACTGTTATCTTAATAACAATGTAGTGTGCTAGTATGTGTAGCATATTATGATAGTGATGTCATGTGACATTATATCACATTAGTAACAAATGCACTTATTTTAAGCCAGACTTTGATTTTTTTTTTTCCTAAACCTAACCACGTACTTTTGTTGCCTAAACCTAAGGAAGCAAACTTAACCCTTGGAAAGAGCCTGTATGCATTTAACAAGCAGAACTGTACATATCCTACTGCAGCTTGACTTGGCAGACTTGTTTTTTGCTCTAAAACTTGCCCTTTTGCAGGCTTATGGCCCCCAAAGAGTGGAATGTGTGTGAAAGCAGAAGAAGTACAGTAAACGGGTGTTAGACATATGTGTGGATTTTAAATGTATTTATACTAACACATCCCCGAGGAGCTCCCGCAAACCATGTCCTACATCGTCCATGCTGTGGAAGTCCAGAAACTGTACATTTCCAAAGTTTATTTTAAAAAGACAGTAAATTGACACCCCGTCCTGAGAACCCAAAACTGATGCTGGAATGGTAGCTAGAGTGTCATAGTATGTCGTATAGGGCCACCGACCAAGCGTTGGTATTTGACAAGTTGGTAGTGAGTATGTCTTGGACCAACTGTCACATCCTACATGTACAAATGCTGAACAACAACAATAGAGGAGAATTAATACTGAACCTATGGATTGGCAGGGCTGTCTTCCCTGCGCACTTTAGCCTTCATCATAGCAAACAGATGCAACCAAAGTGTGAAAAACATGTTAAAAGCCTCATTGCCCTTCCGTGATCTGCATTTAAGAATTTATTTATTGAATTTGTTTTAAAACTGTCATTTTTTGTTATTTATAAAGCAACAACCTCCCTCATTATTGCCAAACAATGGAGCTTATTTGGTCTTTATAGCACTAAAATCTGAGTACATGACGTAATTTGCAAAAAATCAACAACAAAATGGCGCTCATACTACATATCATACTGTTGAACCAACCTTAATCACTGCAAGGGCAAACTCAAGCCCAACAAGCAACAGCAGATGGACATTTTGACCTGGATGTGACATTACTGAATAATACTAACGCAATGTAGTGTCCAATTTTACACTTAAAGGTCAGCTTAACTTTTTTTAAGCAGCTCAACATACTTCGGTGGTAACTCACATCGACAATAAATGCAAATAACTTTGGTAATGTCTTGAGAATCATCTGGCAGGGCTTTAAAGCTGGACTTGCCATTCAAAAGATGTCTTTCTCTATCCATGTTAAAATATAAAATTATTCCATATATATGCACCTTTGTGTTTATGTCATAAGTAGAAACCAATGAGCTTTGGACTGAGTGCTAAGGCCGGGGTAGGGAACTTAGATAGTATTGACTAATAATAATAAAAAAGACAGTCGTATGTTTCAAGTAAAAACTCATAGTGTTTCTTAGATTTTTGGTTCATGAAAAGAGGTTTTGCTGGTGTATGTAGGGTTTTTAGTACAAATTGTAATGAGAGCCAAGGTAACTGTTATCACAGGGACTTAATGTCAGAGTGACTGTATAAAACTGAAGCATAGTCTGCAAATACAGTATCTCCCTCTCTCCCTGTCTTGCCCTTTACTCCATCTGTGCTTATACCACTTTTTTCCTCCGTTTTTCCCTCAGATAATAAGCGATGCCACTAGTTCAGCCCTGTCTCTGATGCTCTGTCTCTTCCCCTCTCCTCTGCACTCATAAAAGAGGAAGCCAGGGAACATCTTTAAATGCTTCTCCGTTTCTCCGCCGCTCTTTCTCTCCCCCCTTTCCTGCTGATTATAGGGCGGGAGAACATCCTCAAATCAGAGTCCCCCTCTTTCTTCTTTCCTCTCCCTGACAGAATGACAAAGCTAATCTCCTTATCCGTTCATTTGACAGCCTTTAAGAGAACACTTTCTCATCCTCACCCCCCTGCCCTCTTCCCCCTATCCCTCCATCTCTCCTCTATTGTCGAGTGGACGTGTGAGAAAAGAACAGCTGGCTAATGCATGTTGGCATTTTCCCGACAGTGTTACCCTCTCTCACTTCCTCCTTCCTCTCCCATCTACATATCTCCCCCTATCATCCCATCTCTCTCTTTTTTATTGTGGAAGTAAAGGAGTGAAAGAAGCATTTTACCTGGAGCATCGCAGTGGTACTCGGGCTGAACCCGATGTGACAAAAAAAAATAATAAAAACTTTAAGCTGTGTCCCAAATAGCAGCTCATGATTCATCGTCAGCTGTGTGTGCGTGTGTTGTAGTATGTGTGTTTGTCTGGGTGAAAGTGTATGTCTCACCAGCAGTGAGTAGTAGACTTTGAATCCTGGCTTTGCAACAAAGTAATCGTCAGACTTGAAGGTGACTCTGAGCAGGTTGGTTTTGGAGTTGAGACTAGGCGGTGCCTTCTGCCCACACCAGCGACCCCAAATTATAGTGCTGGTCTCGGATTGGTCCTCCACTTCAACAAAGTCATACCTGGAGTGAGATAGAGAGATGGAGATGGAGAGGTAGGTGAATGTGTGGGAGGGAGGAGGGAAAGATGGAGAATGAAACCTGCACGTCAAGAAAATAGAAAAAATGAGACTTTGAAACTGAAAATAAAACATGAATGTGTCCTCACAAATGGAAGAGAGGACACTCAGGAAGGCAGTAAGATAAAAAATGTGGGTCTTATTTTTGTAGTTTTCATCCATTTTGGTAAAAACATTTCACTCAAAAACTCACTGTGATTACTAACACCTGGAAATTCAATGACTAAATGGCTTTTAAAAAAAAATTGAAATAGTCACAAACAACTTTGACCTTCCAGACGTTTTCTTTCAGCTTTATGCTTTATGAAGATCCATACCACTCTCACATCCTATATGAAGCTGGAGCCAGTAGCAGGTTAGCTTAGCATAAAGACGGACATCAGAGTTAAACATCTAGCCTTCACTACAGTTTTGTCTCAGTACTAACGAAACAGAACGTGTTGAGGCTGAGACACATCAAACTGACATCAAAGAACTAGCAGCAACAAAGGCCGACTGTTGCATTGCCTAACGTCGCCTCTGTCTCAGCCAAAAAGTTACACTGAACACACTATGAAGTCTACAGCCAACGGCTAACTAGAATGTACATTCTGCACCTGCATGAGAGGAAATAACTCTTCATACCAACAGGCGGCAGTGGTCTGTATATGTCATTCAAAAAAGGACTGTTTCAAGATTCAGTTGGCCAGTTAGCACATTAGCAACACAACCCAGTGTTAAAAGAACAAATGATATTTGCTGTGCGCTAACAAACAGTACCACAGTCAATTAGGAACCATTTTTGCTCAGCACTCAATGGCTAAAAAAAATAATCTTATGATAACAAGTTTGTTTTGATCCTCTTGACTTTCTTTGTTTGTTTACTTTCCTCACTTCCGTTTCTCTTCTCGTGTACTGAGCTGAACTGCCAATCAGAGCAATTTCATTCAAAAAAGCCAACAAGGGTGGGCTTTTGCCAAAGGTGTGGGACACACCAACAAAACTAGGGCTGCAGACGCTCACCATCGGCATAACACTGACCGACTGGTGACAGTCGGCCTGGTCTGTCAGGGCCCTTTATCAGTGAGCTTCTGAGGTGCTGGTAGGATGATTTTGTTACCTGTGGAAGGCCCCAGGCTAGCTGTTTCTGGGTGTTTCCTGTTTTATTGCTAAGCTAAGCTAACAGGCTGCTGGTTCAAGCTTCACAGATATCAAAGTGGTACCAATCTCATCAAACTCGAGGTAAGAAAGCAAATAAGCCTATTTTTAAAAATGTTTTCAGATCTCAGTATCCACTTTGCTCAGCACAATGTTCTCATAACCAAAAGAAACAATAGCCTGCACTACAAATTTAAGACTTAATTTATAATTTAATAATTTTCCTTCTTCCTTTCGTGCACATTGATCTCCTTCTGACACTTCCTAGTTAGGTAGTTTAGGTTGACTTAAGGGTTTAAGTTTATTCAGCACTAATGATCAAATTAGTGATGGGACAATTATACCATGTATTCTGAAATCACAAGCCTGCGGAACAACAGCGAAAAGTTATCGGGTAACTTTCCAGCAGTCAATGCTCCCGTCAATTAGTGAGTCGATCTATCAAACACACACACAGCCAATGTGACAAACAAGATTTACAAAACCGGGCGCAGCTACTTCCTCCCTCCTCCCACCTTTCCAAATCTCTCCTCCCTCCTCTCCTCCCCCTCCTGCTCCCCATTGTCTTTTCAGCAAAGTGCTTACAAAGACGGCTGAGTTGCATATGGGGATTAAAAAGTCTATTTTCTCCCCTCAACCCTCAAGGACAAACTTCTTATACTTCTTGCCAAGAAAGCAAACTTCAACTATCCATCTCATTTGCAGTGATTCCACCCCCTACACTTTTTATATGCTTTTCTATCACATCCTTTCAATCACATCTTATTGTTGGTGAGCTAATGTGCATGCATTAACAAATCACGGTCACACATTTTACTGTTGCTGTTGAACGTCCTTTCAGCTGGAGACTTCTGCTCCATAAACTTTTCCTCTCCTCTTTGTCACTCCAAACGGTCCTCTCCATCACTGCTTCACTCACACTCTGGTTCTTTAATCACTGTTACTATCATCTGACTTTTCTCCTTTACAGCTGCTTGTTTATCAATACCTCCTCTTCTTTCTGCTCTGCACCTCTGCTCCTCTTTTGTCCATTCAACTATTGTCCCTCTCTCCTTTTCTACTCCGCTCTAATCCTCTCCTCGGAATTCCATCACTCCTCTCTCCATCTGTCTATTTCTCCATCTTTTCGAATCTCATGTTTTACCTGCACACTCCATTCTCAGCCTCCTCCAGACCGAAGTGTCCGTCAAACTCCAGGTGAATGCGGCTCCCTGGTGGCGACAGCAGTTTCCATGACAACAGCAGATTGCGGGGGTAAGCGTTGGGGTAGCGTGGGCTGTGGACGGCTCCACCCACTGGCGTGACTGTGATGTTTTCCTCCTTGCGGTACAAGTCTGTGGTGAGGTGATTGCTGTCTGTTAGTGGTTACAACTAATCAGTTAGTTAGTCCAGTTGTAATTAAGCACACAAGCAAAGCAGCTTGTTCACAGACACATACGCACAAAATGCAAATCTACATGCAAACACACCAACTAGACTTTAGTGGAGGAGACATAAGGAAGCACAAGAAAATACACAGACGAACGATACAAATTCAAATGTGACATTTCAGTCCTGTGATAACACGACCTCAGCAAATGTACTTTGGCTCTCATAAAGCTCTCAGCTTAATGTACACAGACATACCTCAACAAAATAGTTCAACAGTATTGGAAATGCGCTGATTCACTCTCCTGCCAAGTATTAAATTAGAGGATAATAAAACTCTCGGCCCCTTCAATGAGGACTTGAGGCCTTTGCACACTGAGTCTGTTTTTTCTTCTGCAATTGTCTCATGTATAAAATAAATACGACCTCATGTTGTAGTCCGAAACTTTCGTCCATCATTAAAATTTTCAGAACAGGTTTAATTGTCTACGTTTTTCACATCCGTCAGAGCCTTTGGAGACGTTTGACTAAGAATAGGCGAAGAAAATGTGGCGACGGGATGCTGCCACGACAAGACAGAGAATGATTCATAACTCAGATAGCTACTTTCAGCAGGTCAGATAGTAACACTCAGGTGGATGATGATGAAGAGGAGGAGGATGTGGACCATAAAGAATAAAAGACCACAGAATGTGGAGGACAGAGAGAGAGGATAGCTCCCCCTCTTCATGTAGCTGCAGTGCCAAGTTTAAGAGAGACAAAGGAGGAAATGTGTCTTTTCATTTTGTCTTTCAGTATTAAAGTATTAAAAAACATATCTGAAAGAAAAAAATAGTCTAAGTGTGCAAAATCCTTTACATACAGTATAGCCAGGCATGACTAACCTGGCTTTCCACCTAAAACTGCAGTTTTTCCTTTTTAACGCTTTGTTTTTTGTACGGATTAGAAAACAAGACATAATGTATTGCAGTGTATTGATTAATAGTGAGCTTTAGAGGCACTCTAGAGAGATTTTCTTTCAGACAGAGCCAGGTTAATGCTGCGTACACATGGAATCAGGCAGACGTCAGACAGCAGATGGATAAGCAGCAGGAACGTAAAATAACACATGTATGATGATATGTTGAGATGGTGATTTTATTATCTTAATAAAATATATTAAGATAATTTCATGTTTATTATTTGACGTAGTTTTTCTAGTAGTGTCCAGTAATTGTCCAGATTTTGATGCCCACATTTTCCTCTTGTGTGAGGAAGCTACGCAAGATCTTGTTGTAAATTCCATCGCAGAGGACAGCAAAAATTAAAATATTTCAACTTTGAATGACAATGCTGTCTACCGTTACCTTGTCAGTATTCTCTACTAGCCTCACCTGCTCCTCCATCCTGCTCTTATCCATTAAAATGATACCCAATTTTCCATCTCCCTGATTCCATGTGAACGCAGCATAATTGTATCCCCTGATTCCAGTCTTTATACTGAGCTAAGCTGGATTCTGCTGGTAGCTTTGTATTTACAGAAAGATCTAAGAGTGGTATCAATCTTCTTATCTAACTCTTGGAACTTAAGTGAATAAGTGTATTTCCCAAAGTGATGATCTGTTCCTTCGAACGTGTCCTTTTGTGGTTTGCAGTTTGTTTTATTAGATAACTGAGAGAGAATAATTCGGATCACCTCTATCATGATTTTATGGCGTGAGAATCCAGTTTTAAACAATGCTTGATTGTGGATCTGCTGAACATTGTGTTTTAATGGTGTTTAGGGACATGACTGTGTAGTCTGACCTTCTCACACCCATTAGATTTTGGTATTTTTTACATGTGCAAGTGGAAAACTTGGCCTGACATGGTTCTGGAGAAAATGTCAAAGGGTCAACAAAGACATTTAGATTCCCTCTTTCACGCTCATAAATATCAACAGTGAATTTGAAAGCAGAGCTGGTCACGGTCCAACATGGAAATCAGGGATTCACCAAAACCATTACGAGCAATTCTCTCGTCACCAAGAACATCGCATCCTGTTTTATAGCTGCTCTTGAGGCCAAGGGATGGACAAACTATCGCGGTAAATTATATACTTGTCAACACAGAGAATAAATTGTGTGTGGCATGTACTGTGCATAGAACTGAGCTCGTAAACATTGTTATGCTGATAAGTGTTTTTAAATAACAGTGTCTGTCTTTACTGTGAAGTTCCTCGCACTGCTGTGCCAAAACAGCAAAAACACTGTGCTTACCTGTCCCTGTGCTTTGTCTACTTTACAAGCTCACCACAAACCCATGCACACACACACAACACACACACACGCTCTTATAAAAAGAGATAATTCTTACCTACCTACCTAACATATATCCAAAAAAAATGTAAAAAATATATTTTGTAACTGTTACTATGGGCTCTGCTTATGAGCTTCATTGCTTTACTTACGATAAATTATAAACAGTGTTATTTAAAATTGTGTTTTTAGTACAATAATTGCTCATCAGTATTAATGAACATTATAATTATACCCACTGAATGTCTAATCAGCTCAATAACAAGTCAAATTTAAAGAAATGCACAACAAACTTATTAATTTCTCTCATCATTCTATTGCTGACTTTCTAAAAATCTAAAAAAAAAAATCCCTGCACACGCGCACACACACACACACACACAGTCGAAGGTCAGGCTGTGTGCTGAAGTAGGCTGACAGGGCTGTATTTTCTGAGCGGTGTGTGGTTTTTGCGAGAGAGCTGAATGCATAATCAAGCCACCGCAGCCTGCACCCCTGGGAGATGATGATGAAGCTTTGGCCCTTTCCTCCACCTCTTCACTGCAAACTTCCCTTAATTCCTCCTCCTGTCCTATCCTGTCTTTTCCTCTCTCTCCTCATCTTTGCTTCAGTCAGTGATTCTGTCTCATCAGTCTTTCTTCAGAAGTCACACCTTCTGCTAATTCTGGCTCCAGCAATTAACACTGCTCCGAAGTGTGTGCGTGTGTGTGTGCAGCAGTCATGAGCTTGTGTAAGTGTGTGTGCCCGTGTGTGTGTGTGCATGTGTGTTTGAGCACAGTTTGTTTCTAAAGGAATTCTTCCACTCTGCTGATCAGAGGCCTGGCTGTACAGATCCATTCAGTCATAAAAGTGCTTATGTGTCAGGAACTTTCACCCAGTAAGGACACTGGGAAGGAGAGCTCTAGGGCTGCCTCCTAATCGTCGACCGAATGTAAGTCGACCAGGAAGGTTATTAGTCAGCAACATTTCATTGATAACTTAATGGCAGAAAAAAAAGAGAAAAAACAAGCGTGGAACACTATTAAGAGCTGCCCCTCCTCAAAATAAATCTAAACCTATATGACTGGACCATGTGGGAATTTAATTTGAAAGGACAGACACAGGAACCAATCACAGCGGACATATCTTTTCCTTCTTCCGTAAATATTCAGTCTGATAAATACGGAAAAGTTGATCATGTTAGTGCAGGGCTACCCAGAGCTTTACATCTGTCCCACAGACGATAGGCCTACGCACTTATAAACAGCACCTGGAAGAAGATCAGCTCTACACTCAGAATTTCAGGTAAATAGGCTATATGATTCTTGTTAAGGTTGCTTAGCAACCTAAGATGCAACCTGCCACTGACCTCGCATTTTCCAGGCCGTTAAAGACGCGGCATGTGTAGGCTATGGCCTCTTATTTCCAGGGCTGGTACCTGCAGTTATTCCACAGGCTAGTTAAAAACATGTCGGGCAGGAAATCCAAAGTGTGGGATCATTTTGAGAAGGTGAAGGACGAACCCAAGGTGATATGTTAACTCATCTTCATTGGTCGACTACAAACATGATGTATCATCTGAAACATGGAAGTAGCTACATGCCCATTAGCCACTTAGCACAATCATTACTGCTTTGCCCACAGCGTCATTAACAGGCGGCTCGCTCAGTGTGTGACGTGCACTTGTAGATAAAATATAGGCCTATATTAATGAAGGTTCATTAGTACGGTTTTGTATTTCTCTGTAATGTAGCACAGTGTTAACAATCTTACTGATACTATTCTTTCTCACACCTTCAACTCAAACCATTGTGTTGCCCCGCCCAAAATATATCACTTAATAATTAAATTAATATCGTAAACATGCAATCACTAGTCAACTAATGGCCCTAAATGATGACTATTGGTTGACTAGGAAAATTCTCAGTGGGGGGCAGCTCTAGAGAGCTCACTGTGGCAGTTTAAGTGTCTCTCAGTATTTGCACATGTTCATTAGGACATTTTTTTTTTTTTTAAGATATTTTTTGTGGCATTTAAGCCTTTAATGGATAGGAAAGACAAGCATAAAAGGGGGAGAGAGAGGGAGTGACATGCAGCAAAGGGCCACAGGCTGGAGTCGAACCCAGGCCGCTGCGGCAACAACCTTGTACATGGGGCGCCTGCGCTACCACTAAGCCACCAGCGCCCCAGGTGGCATTTTTTTTACACGTGTATGTGACCATTGTCATTTCTTTGTACATGAAATGGGTATTTTTATAATTTGAAGTGTGTGTTTTTGTGCACATAAAGGAAAATGCACAGCAAACTTTTGAAAGCATTTATAAAATGCACTTTTATTCTAAGATGCACAAACATCTCTTAGATCTCAGGTTAACTGTGTCACCTTATACTCACTCCACACACATGGATCTGATGTGACTGTCTCCATTTTTTACGATCTTTCCTTATTTCTGTGAAAAAATAACGCCCACAGGCAGCCACTAAATCCACATCACATCTTATATTTATACAATGTGAGTGTGTGAACTATAGATCAGCTACAACAATAGTTCAAGCCATCGAGTTTCACCGTGGACATATTGTAGGCTTTGGTCAGTAGAAGCTCTGCGCCTAGCACAGACCTATAGGTGGAGATACTACAAGCAGTAGTCGTTGGCAGTGTTGTCCCCAAGGAAATACCATGAGCCTCTGCCTTGTTTTCCTCAGCAATGTACAGATTCCTTCTGTCAGGT